CAAATGCGTTTCGTGTTTCCCTCTTTACCCATGCTCTTTCTTTGTTGTCATAGAGTAGGGATTTTTTTGCGTGCATTATGGTCCTGTATTCTATTTCTGGAATAGATGTGTATTGTATGGCCCATTGACATTGCGGAACACATTATACTATACAACGCTCTACAGCTTATGTATTGAGCACTATATCTGCTAATACTGATACACCGTAATTTAATTTAATTTATATATATATATACATATATACATATACATATACATATATATATACACATATATATATATATACATACACATACATATATATACATACACATACATATATATACATACACATACATATATATACATACACATATATATATACATACACATACATGTATATATATATACACACCCATACACACATACACACACACACATACACACATACACACACACACATACACACATACATGTGAAGGGCTGTGAAACGATGACCTTGATAGAAACCTTACAAATGGTGACGATAGTAATCTTGCTTTTTTTAAAGGTAGAATTACATATAATGCTATTTCTGGGAATAATTAACAAATTAGTTATATTGGAAATAAAAACAAATGTAGAAATTAAATTTTTCAAAGATATGATTTTTTCCATGCAACTGATGACAAGGGTGTGTTCAGTGTGTTACGTGTCATCGATTGTGTAGAATTAAATCATGCTACAGTATAATGTATATTTCAAAACATCATAACACCATTTTGAAACAAGATGTGAACACTTTTTACTATTTTTATTACTTTTTCAAAAACACAAAAAGGAAAATACAACAATTCAAACAGTACTGATATAATATGCTATAAAATAGCCTCAACTTCGTTTTTATAATACAAAGTGCTGTCAGGTTTAGTAAAGAACAAGCTTCGGTATATTTCTTATATTAAATAAAGTAACCTACTGTATTTACATGTCGCATGCTTTTTAAGTCTATTGTACAAAAATCAGTAAGGGTGTTTTTAAGACACTGATACCATTTTTGACCTCTTTGATCAACAGTTTGCAGTTCTAGAATGGTGTAACATGACGTTTTCTCCATCCTAAAGACAGTTATGTTTCTATAGAAGAATCAGTGTAAATAACAGAGAGTAAAAAAAAAATTCCATTAAAGAAACACTACCATACAGTATATTTACTACCAAAATCTATCAAATTTTAGGATTTACAGTAGCTCATCTGACAGCAATTGGCATATAAATATTTTCAAAGATGCTTTTCAAAAATCAATAACATGATCGAAACCAACCAAAATACTTTATAGGCCCTTCATGCCATTTCTAAAGTTTTTCTAATGTTTTCTCATGATATGAAAACTATTTATCAGAACAAGTACATTTATTTTTAAAAATGTCTTAGTTTGTGGATGTTTTTAGTAATTATTAAAAATAAAGTAATGAATTCTCAAAGTATATAAAAAAACCATAAAAAATCATTCTGATTAAAAACTTTCATAGATTCAATTTTTTTTTCAATTACAGCATTGTCCTAATAATTATTTCTAAATCATTTTCATAAAAACAGTTATATAAAAACAACTTATGCAAATTACTACTGAAATTTTAAACAACAAAATGCATTAAATGTGATAAGAAATTGAAGAGGAACTTATTATTAGCTATAACTGAGAACTTAAAGAAGGACTCAATGCTTCCAAACTGAAAATAATGGATGACTTATTATTATACAATTATTATAGGAAAAAAAAAAAACAATTTAAGTTTGTGGATGTTTTTAGTAATTATTTAAAAAAAAGCAATGATTGCTCAAAGTATATTTAAAAAAAACCATAAAAAATCATTCTGATTAAAAACTTTCATAGATTCAATTTTTTTTTTCAATTACAGCATTGTTCTAATAATTATTTCAAAATCATTTTCATAAAAACATTTATATAAAAACAACTTATGCAAATTACTACTGAAATTGTAAGCAACAAAATGCATTAAATGTGAAAAGAAATTGAAGAGGAACTTATTATTAGCTATAACTGAGAACTTAAAGAAGTACTCAATACTTCCAAACTGAAAATAATGGATGACTTATTATAGGAAAAAAAAAACAATTTAAGATAGTATCCCGCACTCATCTGCATTTAGCAGCTAATAGGAAGACTGATGCTATACCACAATGTTTTAAAGGCATATCCTACACCACAGGTTTTAAATATATTCTTCTTTATAATCTGATTCATTCCTGATGCGAATGCAGCTTATGAAATAAACATTGAAATGTAAATATCAACTCAAATTTTCTAAAAGATATGTATAATAAAATTATAGATGCACTACCACTCAAATCAGTCGTTGGAAAATGAAAAATCAAATTGTTAATAACGTAAATACAATTTATGATCATTGAATGAAAAATAACCATAGGAAAATTCATTAACAGACTAATTAGGTAAAAAGAGAGGAAACAAAATTATAAATTGTGAACAAAGTTATAATAATAAAATAATAATAAATAAAACTTGAAAAATGGTGATACCATCACATATCATAATATTTTTAAAATTTTTCATTTTTTTTTCATCAATTGAGTGGCAGTGCATCTTTAAAATATTATAGGTTGTTTAATTCACAGAGAGTAAGATTACTCTTTACTTTTCTCTTGTTTTGTCTCAACTTTTTGAAAGTGATCGACTTCAACCTTAACTTTTATTTACTTTTTTTTTTTCTTTTTTAAGGCAACTACTTTTTCGTATTAAAAGAAGTAAAGATTGTGCCAGTTCTTTACTTCTTGAAAATAATAAATTAAAATAAGAAATTTAAAATTAACATAAGATATTTAAGAAAATAAAATAAAATAATATAATAAATATCAAATAAAAGGATACAAAAAACCAAGAAATCATCTTACTAATTGACATACATATAAAGATATTCTTTGTTTATAATTTGCATATACCATATAAATTTCAATAATTGTCACTGGAGAGTCGGAGACTAGCAATTTGTTCAGTTTGTAAATATTACAACCATAAAGTAAGAATGGTTTCTGTAACATAGCACCATAAAATATATCATACACATCAAAATATAAAAAAATAGGATCAAAATAAAACAAATTCAAAATATTTTGTAAACTCTTCTACTATAATTATAAATATTTTTGGATAGCAGAGGAGAATACCACAACTTTATATACCACTACATATTAAAGAATATCAATTTTGGGTGAGTCTCACCCTTTTTAGATTTCTCCCATATGATGATTATTAATATTAATAGACAGAAAAACTCAAGGAACCTTCAGCGAGGCTGTCTACTATATATATCAGACCATTATGTGGGAGAAATGAAAGAAAATGTCATTCTAGTAGTACCAAAGGTAAAGTTGACAAAAGTGCAGTAAAAAATTAGCATATAAATGTATTTTTACCACAATGTCTTCCTCTTTTAGATTCAACATAATTTTCACTGGAAATCTGATTAAATATAGTCATCTATTAAAATCTAAAAAGGGAGAATCATCAAAAAAAATTGCCATAGATAGTGTTGACATTTGTAAATTCAAAAGTAAACTCACAAATGTCAACACTATCTCTTTTTTGTTTGTTGTCACAGTACTAAAGTTCACATGTATTTTGTTGGCTACAAGTAAAAGAAAGACTGATTAATGGAGTAAAAAGTAATAAAATTATATATCTTTAGAGTTGTAAACTAACCTTTTAATAATTGATCATTTGCCACAAAATGTAAGTATTTCATATAAATTACAGTATTTGACAGTGTTCAATAGTATAGACAACACATAGGGAGATATTGAAAATGGTAAAAGAATTGCAACATTCTCTCACGTTTTGATGCCATATGTGTGTTCAATTGTTGTGTTTTAAAGTTTTAAACTGTCTTCGAGCTTTTAAAATGGGAACATTATCCTATAATTGTCACCCTTTTTGTCTCAAAATCGACTTTTTTAACCATATTATTTCTAACATAAACTTTTATATTCCTACATGACCTTCTATGTAGGGCCGGTTCTTCTTTTAGGCATCTATCAATTTATTTTTTTTTTCCAGGAAGTGTTTGGTCAAGATATTTTTGTGGAAATACTTTATCAGTGCACAGTTTAAAACTAACACAACATTTCAGAGTGGAATCAGAGTCAAAATGTGAGAGAATGTTGCAATTCCTTTGCCATTTTTAAATTGCCTTATATATGTCTATGCCTCATCTATACGTCTATGTTAGTGAACACTGTAAATACGGTAATTCATATGAAATGCACATAATTTATATTTTATGGCAAATGATCAGGAGTAACCAAACAAAATAGATGTGAACTTTTATAGTATGACAAACAGAGCTACAAAAATGAGTTCACAGAACACTATCTGCATACGTTATTCCATAATTGTCACCATTTTTGTCTCACAAACAACTTTTTTTAACCATATTATTTCTCACATAGTCTTTAATATTTTTCCATGACCTTCTATGGAGGGCCGGTTCTTCTTTTAGGCATCTATCAATTTCTTTTTTTCCAGGGAGTTGTTTAGTCAAGATATGTTTGTGGAAATGCTTCATCAGTACATCTTTCTCATTTTTATTCCATGGCACATGCTTTTGCTTTCTTGACTTCATTTTTTGGTTTGCAGAGCATTTGGCTGATTCTTTTCTGTCAGTCGAAACAATATTTTCTATACTATGCAAGCTTTCAACACTATGTTCTTGAAGTTCGTCATCATCTTCAACTTCATGCTCCTCCTCGTCCACCTCAACAAGTTCTGTAATAATTTGGTAATGAGAAGACTAAATAACCTTCCAAGTTTAATAACTAAATTGAAATGCTAGAATTATATGAAAATGTCAATTAAACTAAGCAAAGTTCATTGTCAGTACAAGAGTTTTTTTTTTGCCTAATAATTCGTTAAATAGTGAAATGCAGGAAGTTAAGTTTGAAAACAAAAGTAGGGTGACCATTGCATACAATTTCACAAAATTGAAACCAATAAAAAAGAATGATATAGTATCAACCATCAGCTTAACTAATACGTAATATGTCTGAATTGAATTTCAAACATACCTATAACAAATTTTTGACTCATTGCCATACATTCTATGTAATTTTTTTAACTGTATAATGTAAAATTAACTATAATTTTCTGGTCCTAGTCAGAGGTTTTCAAACATAATTTAGTATGAATATGCATGCATTTGAAAGTTTATTTAAAAATTTCACCAAAAATGGCAAAATTCTACTCATTAGCAACAGGCATATAATGATTGAAATATGAATAGGTTTACGATACACAATGTATATAGTTCTGAAAATAACTGTTAAGCTTAGTTCTTTTCAGAACTATATACATAGTTAACATAAACCTTACAATAATATTTGATGACATACCTTCTTCATCTAATGGGATGTCGTCTAAACTTTTCGATGGTGCTAAAACTCCTTTTTCCACAGCAAGAAGTATCTTCGACACCTTTGATACTTGAAGGACATTGTCGGGTAGCCGATAGTAGTTTCTGTGGACTCTTAAATCGTGACCCATGAAATTCGCAACAATGTCTAACTCATGTTCTTGTAAATTGAGTATTTGACATAATGTTGCAAGTTGCTTTCTTAATTTGGTTCCACGCAATGTTTCTGGGTTGTCAGCTCCACAGGTATTGCTGTACTTTCGCAGAACATCACTGGCTCGGATATGTCCTAGTGAACTAAAATATGTCCGGGGAAATACAAAAGGATTTTGCGGTTTCACTGTTTTTGGGCGACGGGCCACTACCGTCTGAAGCCATCCTGACATTTCATCTGTCAAAAGAATAGGCACAGTTCTGCCTCTCTTCCCTTTTACTTCTACTCTTTTTAGAGTTTTGCACAGCTCCTTCTCTACTGGGCTAAGTGATTGGGAAACAATAGAATCTGGCAAGCGGTTGGTGAACTTGAAGTCTTCCAACTTCATTTTGGATACCTCACCTGTTCTTCTACGGTTAAACAAAACTATCTGTGCCAATGTTACCTCAGCAAGGTTAATCCAAGCTTCTTGAAAGTCATTTGTGTTTTTGGTATCATTCAATATTGAAAGGTTTTTGTTCCCAACTTCCTTTAGTTGATTTGTTAGTCTCATTACATCATTTGTTAGGGGCAACAGTTTGGGGCGATTCCTCTTTGCATCATACATGGTTCTTAAAGCAACGGACGAGACAAAGACACTCCATTCACTTTGAATTCTTTTTGAAAATGCTTTTGCATTTTTGTACATCTCATCATCATTAATTTCACTAGCCTGACCTTGCACGATTTTAGCAAATTTCTGCAATGTATGGCCTAGTTTTAGGGCTAAAGAGGGTGTTTTGTACACCATATTTTCATCAAACCCTGCAACCCTCTGAACACCTAATACAACATTGCGAAATTCTGCTGGTTTCATAAAGTCATGCATAGACGCATTTGGTCTCTTTGTAATTATGCGCAAGTCAATGAGCAGACGTGCAGCTTCTCGCATTTTGGTGCGTATATCACAATGTTGATCCACATCGTGCCCACATTTCATAAAATGTCTCTGTGCGTTTTCTAAAATGAGTGGATCATTCTTTGCTACTCGAGATATGTCATCATTTGATAGTTTCTGTGTTACTTGATATAGACCTAATGATGTACCTTTAGGTGGGGGTACTAGTAGTTTGCTTGACAAAGCAGGCCTTGAAGTATACTTAACCTTATCTATTGCAGACTTATGATGACAGTCGTGTTTCCATAAATCCGTTCTAATAAAATAACCTAAACAAAACTCACATGGTCCGTAATCATCATATTTCGCATTTCCATGAGATGGACGGTATGAAACAATAAATTTCCCCTCTCCATTTCTGATTACTGAACAATTATGCCTGTGAGTTCCTTTGTTTCTTATTAAGTCCATCATATCACTCTTCTTTTTCCTGTCTTTTTCATTCATAATTGCAATTACGTCTGGTTCTGTATGGTGTTGTTCTCTTAAGTGGCGTTGTATTTGGGAATAAAATTTCGAGCAATATATGCATGGAAATTTCTTATCAAATACCCTCTGATTTTGAATATTTGAGGTACATTGAACAATAATCTTGTTATCATTTTTTTGACTGTCCTGTAAAAAAAAACAACAAAGAACAACTTGATGTATGGTGGTGTATATGAATGCTTATGATCACATAAACACACAAATATTATTATTTTAAATAGTTCACAATGTCACCATTTAATGCAAATAATCACATAACAAACACACAAATATTATTATTTTAAATACTTCGCAATGTCAACATTTAATGCAATTAATCACATAACAAACACACAAATATTCTTAGAAGTTCACAATGTCACAATTTAATGCAAATAATCACATAACAAACACACAAATATTCTTAGTTCACAATGTCACCATTTAATGCAAATAATCACATAACAAACACAAATATTCTTATTTTAAATAGTTCGCAATGTCACCATTTAATGCAATTAATCACATAACAAACACACAAATATTCTTAGTTCACAATGTCACCATTTAATGCAAACAATCACATAACAAACACACAAATATTCTTATTTTAAATAGTTCGCAATGTCACCATTTAATGCAATGAATCACATAACAAACACACAAATATTCTTAGTTCACAATGTCACCATTTAATGCAAATAATCACATAACAAACACACAAATATTCTTAGTTCACAATGTCACCATTTAATGCAAATAATCACATAACACACAAATATTCTTAGTTCACAATGTCACCATTTAATGCAAATAATCACATAACAAACACACAAATATTCTTAGTTCACAATGTCACCATTTAACGCAATTAATCACATAACAAACACACAAATATTCTTAGTTCACAATGTCACCATTTAATGCAAATAATCACATAACAAACACACAAATATTCTTAGTTCACAGTGTCACCATTTAACGCAATTAATCACATAACAAACACACAAATATTCTTAGTTCACAATGTCACCATTTAATGCAAATAATCACATAACAAACACACAAATATTCTTAGTTCACAGTGTCACCATTTAACGCAAATAATCACATAACAGACAAATATTCTTAGTTCACAATGTCACCATTTAATGCAAATAATCACATAACAAACAGTTTGCAAACAAATAGTTTGCAATGTCACTAGTTTTAATTCATATCATCAAATACCAAACACACAAATATTCTTTTTAAAAATATTTCAAATATAGGCATCATCACAATTTTTGTTTGTTAAACAAACAAAAATTTCCTGTGGGTCTAGCTAAACCATCTTTCAATGTAATTTTACAATAGTTAGATACATACCTTGTGATTCTCCTGACTGATTTTTGATAATCCTGGAATTTCTTCCTGGTCATCTGGGACTGATGGACTTGGTGGATTTTGATGCTCCTGCCTGATTTGTGATAATCCTGGAATTTCTTCCCCATCACTGAAAGTTTCACTGTTACATGTACTTGGAATCCAGGAACTATCACTATCCCTATTCATGCTAGACTGTGTATACCATGGTAGGAAAAAAAAAGTTAAGTTTAGTTATAATATTAAAGAGTTTCATCTGGTTTTGATCAATATAATAATAGTAGCAAGTTCTAGTAAAACCAAAATTGTATGTATGTGACAGTTTTGAAACGTTTCTAATAACAAATCTTCGTCAGACAAATGACTGGTGATTAGTTGTTACGGTTGGTTGACTTTTGTCGCCCCCTATGTGTTGTTTTTCCAGTCGCTTCAGGACATTTTAATTAATTGATTGTAGATGTAAGAAAGTTTGTAAAAGCCCTCTTCGCTGTTCGTATTATCTCCATGCCTTCTAATTTCAAGAGGGGGCAACGAAAGTCAACCAACCATAACAAATAATCACCAGTCATTTGCCTGAAGAAGATTTGTTAAACACATGTTCCCTAGGTTATGGGAAGAACTACCGGCTCATATACAAAATTCATTAATTCTAGATCCTTTCCCTGCTTTTTTAAATTCACTCAAATCTCATGTTTTATATTGAAACTGTTGGTCGTCTATATTTTATGCTTTTTTCACTTTATAAATTTTAAAGTTATATCTTGTTAATATAGTTTACTATATGTATATATATATTTATATATTTGTTGATACTTTGGGAGTAAGGTGCCTTAAATTTTGTTATACAGTAGTGATTAAGTTCACTTTTAGGTTCCTGCCTACTCCCTCAGTTTCTGTTTTTATGTATTTGTTTGTACTCTGTTTTTGGCAATAAAATAATAATAATATAACGTTTCGAAACTGTCACATACGTACAATTTTGGTTCTTATTTAGAACTACTATTATTATAAATAGTTATGTTTTATCATTAGTACAGCACAAGTAATTATATAATGAGATTAAATTTGGGAAATGCATTTTTCTATTGTTTTAAAGGAATCAAATGTAAAGACTTCTACATAAAATGTGCTAATCACAATGACTACGTGCCAAGCTAAACTTTTTGAAAACGTAATTTAATTTCAAATTTTCTTTGTCGACAGCTAAATAATTGGAAACAAAATCTGTTATAAACAAATATTTTTTTCCAACTTGATATTTTATAATTCCTCTGCTAATTTCCATTGAAAGCTGAGATACAACTATAACAACCATATTGACTAAGTTTTTCCACTAAAATTTTATTGAAAATTTTTAACATAAGTAATATCAAGCATGAACAAAAAATGTATTCCACAGTTGTCAAGGACCCCATATACTGTAGAGGGCATGGTAAAATAATTATTTTCATGACAATGCAGCTAATTACAACAGGTAACGATGACTCGCGGCATCATACATGGTCTTAAAAAATGTGTATATTGGTGAACCCAAGACCTAGATCTACCCACTATTTTTGAGACCTGTAATGGAAAATAATGTACTTTATAAATACCTCATCATCTGAGACTGATGGACTTTGTGGAATGTGATTCTCCTGCCTGATTTTTGATAATCCTGGAATTTCTTCCTGGTCATCTGGGACTGATGGACTTTGTTGACTGTTATTCTCCTGCCTGATTTGTGATAATCCTGGAATTTCTTCCTGGTCATCTGGGACTGATGGACTTGGTGGATTTTGATGCTCCTGCCTGATTTGTGATAATCCTGGAATTTCTTCCTGGTCATCTGGCACTGATGGACTTGGTGGATTTTGATGCTCCTGCCTGATTTGTGATAATCCTGGAATTTCTTCCTGGTCATCTGAGACTAATGGACTTTGTGGACTTAACTAGAGAAAAAAAAGAGCAAATGATATAATGTAATAATAATAATAGGGACATTCAGATCCATGACGTTAGCACACACGGTAACAGTGTGACTTGACTTCACCCAATCAAAAAACTCGCAAGATAACTTTTTTTTAAAAATTGAACAAAACACATTCAGATGTATCTATTTTTAACAACATGCACTCGATGATTAATTTAACAATGCTAAATTGTAACCCTAAATTAAGAGAAGCATCATGAACTGTCTTTCAAAGTTTAGCATTTTCTCTTCCTACCAACCAATATTGTTTTCCTTGGAAGGGACTGTTATATCAACAAATATTTTCTTTTATTTATGCCTAGTTATAAAAATTTTGATAAAGTAGGATAAATACCTCATCATCCGCTGATGGTTTTGGAAGATTTATCTGGAAAAATAAAGTTTAATAAATTATTTTAAATAAAATTATTTATGTCACTTTATTTTCTAAACTTGAATTCCTATTATTAATAAAATATTTACTGATTCATTCAAATTACAATGGTATAAACTTTTTAAATCATGATTATTTTGAATGTGTAAATTAATATAATATTAATAGTTTTGATAATAAATATAAGTGCGAGCAGTCAAAGAAATCTAGGTAAGTATATAAACACATCAGCGGACATTGCTGTTAACAATGCATTTGTACGGAAATTAAAACCTGTGCTTTGAAAAATTTTGGGTTAGATACGCCTAAACACCATCAGATTACTAACACCAACACTTGGGCCTAAAAATTGTTTGGCATGACTAAATTCACCATTAGATATAACAGTCATTTTTTCAGGCCTCGTTAGAAAAACATTTACTAAAATATAATAAATACCGTGTTATCCATTACTGGATCCATTGCTTTAAGTTTAATCTGAAGAAAAAGTAAATTATGTACTGTAAATAATAAATTTAGTTCAGTTTCCCCTTTTTTACCACTAAAATTTTAATTCCACTTTTTGTACTAAATACAAAAATGTAAATATATCTTTAAATTGATGATATACACGACCCCTTCATATTCTTGGAAATTTAAACGGCATTAATATTTTGTATACCTGCCAATTTTTCAATTGCTAATGTACTTGTTACCAAAATACAAGCGTAAGATGTAAATAAGGCACAATGCGAGAGACTCGATGTAATGTGTGTGATTGGCAGCTATTGGTTGTGTAAACATTTCAGCACTTTATAAAAATCATCATAAGAATGTCAAAAAAAAGAACTAACTTCTATTTAAAGGCTGATTCCCACTGAGTGCGAATCCTAGAATTCGCAACATGTTCAACGGAACGGAAGGAGCGATGAACATGTTTGATGTGAACATTCTATCAAACTAGCTTGAACGTACACTGTCACACAACAGAATCAGTGCTTGTGATTTGTTTTGAATGTGCTTGACGTTAAATTTGACAGTTGGTGGGAATCAGCCTGAATGCAAGTAACAAAATCTTTACTTCCTTGAAAAATTACCACATGGAGTATGAAGTAATTATGGAGTGCCATTATCAGCATCAATATCTATTACTGTATATGCCATATTCAAGCACTATCATTGATTGTTCAATGTTTTTGTGATAAATCATAAACCAAAAACTATATGTACAGTACTCACTTGATGTTCAAATAAAGATCTTGTGAGAGAATCTTCTTCATATTGAACTTTGTATTTTCCTGAAAAATCAAATTCTTGATAATGTTAACACAAATAAAAAATATTAAGGCTTTTAAAACATTAAATTAAAATAATATAAAATTGTTAAATAATTTCATTAAGCCATTACCCAAACTTGATTATTACGCAAAAAGTAAAGTCACATAACAGTAATCAGTCATAGAAAACAAAATATAGACGCCAGCTGAGTAAGATTCCTTTGTACATTTCAAATACAAAGTTTTGTGTTTTTAATGCAAAATAAAGTAATTGATAATGATCCTAAAAAAAGAAGACTGTCTTCTATCAAATGTGGTTTAAGACTATTTAAAGCAAACTTTAAATTCTTGTGTATCACAAAAAATATTTTTTTAAACCTTGATTAAAATTTGGAAAGATGCTTACCATTTTTAAAATCTTTCATTACTATGGCTGAATGCCAAGACCCATTTGGTGGCCAAAGGGCTATTACTGCATCACCAACTGAAAACTAAATGCAGTATTCTTTATAAATAGTTTAATAATACTTACTTTACGCAATTATAAAAGTTAAAATAAGTGTTTTTGCACCTAAAACGGGTATTGCTAAACCCCGCAAACCTCCAACGCAAACCCCGCAAACCTCCAAAAAAACACTGTAGAGCCCAACCAAACCACATGATAGTGATTGTATCATGTATTAGAGGACTCGATTGATATTTTAGTAAAAAAAAATTATAAGTTTATGTTCATAAGTATTATTTTTGGGGCAAAATCTTGATTTTTTGTTAAAAATACCTAAAAATACACCGCAAACCTCCAAAAATACCCTGCAAACACCATCCAAACCCAGTAAAAGTATTTGAATCATGTAGCATAGGAGTTACTAAGTATTTCAATTTAAAAAAAAATTAATTTTATATTCGTAAAACCTATTTTTTTGGGTACAAAAACCCCGCAAACCTCCTAAAAAACACTGTAGAGCCCAACCAAATCACATGATTGCAATTGTATCATGTATTAGAGGACTCGCTTGGTATTTCAGTAAAAAAGAATTATAAGTTTATGTTCATAAAAAATTAAAGTTGAGACTAATGAGTCATATCAGAGAGCATATTAATGGTTTTAGGGGGTATTGCTAAACCCCGCAAACCCCCGCAAACCTCCAAAAAACACTGTAAAGCCCAACCAAACCACATGATAGTGATTGTATCATGTATTAGAGGACTTGCTTGGTATTTCAGTAAAAAAGAATTATAAGTTTATGTTCATAAAAATTATTTTGGGGCAAAATCTTGATTTTTTGTTGAAAATACCTAAAAATACACCGCAAACCTCCAAAAATACCCTGCAAACACCATCCAAACCCAGTAAAAGTATTTGAATAATGTTGCATAGGAGTTACTAAGTATTTCAATTTAAAAAAAAATTAATTTTATATTCATACAACCTATTTTTTAGGTAAAAATGTCATTTTTTGTACAAAAACCCCGCAAACCTCCTAAAAAACTCGGTAGAGCCCAACCAAATCACATGATTGCGATTGTATCATGTATTAGAGGACTTGCTTGGTATTTCAGTAAAAAAGAATTATAAGTTTATGTTCATAAAAATTATTTTGGGGCAAAATCTTGATTTTTTGTTGAAAATACCTAAAAATACACCGCAAACCTCCAAAAATACCCTGCAAACACCATCCAAACCCAGTAAAAGTATTTGAATAATGTTGCATAGGAGTTACTAAGTATTTCAATTTAAAAAAAAATTAATTTTATATTCATACAACCTATTTTTTAGGTAAAAATGTCATTTTTTGTACAAAAACCCCGCAAACCTCCTAAAAAACTCGGTAGAGCCCAACCAAATCACATGATTGCGATTGTATCATGTATTAGAGGACTTGCTTGGTATTTCAGTAAAAAAGAATTATAAGTTTATGTTCATAAAAATTATTTTGGGGCAAAATCTTGATTTTTTGTTAAAAATACACCGCAAACCTCCAAAAATACACTGCAAACACCATCCAAACCCAGTAAAAGTATTTGAATCATGTAGCATAGGAGTCACTTAGTATTTCAATTAAAAAAAAACAAAAACAAAAACCCCGCAAACCTCCAAAAAACACTGTAAAGCTGTATTTTTAGGTATTTTAAACTAAATATCAAGATTTTGCCCCAAAAATAATTCTTATGAACATAAACTTATAATTTGTTTTTACTGAAATACCAAGCGAGTCCTCTCATACACGATACAATCATTATCATGTGGTTTGGTTTGGTTCTACTGTGTTTTTTTTTTAGGTTTGCCGGGTTTTTGTACAAAAAATGACATTTTTACCCCAAAAATAGGTTGTACGAACATAAAATTAATTTTTTTTAAAAACTAAGATACTAAGTGACTCCTATGCTACATGATTCAAATACTTTTACTGGGTTTGGATGGTGTTTGCAGTGTATTTGTGGAGGTTTGCGGTGTATTTTTAGGTATTTAAAAAAAAAAATTAAGATTTTGCCCCAAAAATAATCCTTATGAACATAAACTTACAATTCTTTTTTACTGAAATACCAAGCGAGTCCTCTAATACATGATACAATCGCAATCATGTGATTTGGTTGGGCTCTACCGAGTTTTTTAGGAGGTTTGCGGGGTTTTTGTACAAAAAATGACATTTTTACCCAAAAAATAGGTTGTATGAATATAAAATTATTTTTTTAAAAATTGAAATACTTAGTAACTCCTATGCTACATTATTCATATACTTTTACTGGGTTTGGATGGTGTTTGCAGGGTATTTTTGGAGGTTTGCGGTGTATTTTTAGGTATTTTTAACAAAAAATCAAGATTTTGCCCCAAGAATAATACTTATGAACATAAACTTATAATTTTTTTTTACTGAAATATCAAGCAAGTCCTCTAATACATGATACAATCACTATCATGTGGTTTGGTTGGGCTTTACAGTGTTTTTTGGAGGTTGGCGGGGGTTTAGCGGGGTTTAGCAATACCCCCTAAAACCATTAATATGCTCTCTGATATGACTCATTAGTCTCAACTTTAATTCCTTTGAAAAAAATGCAAAGTAAGGTTTTTGTTATTGTCACTGTACAGTGCATATTTTAAGTTTAAGCAACGTAAGTCACAATAGATTACTTAAATATCAATATTACTGTAAATGCATAAAATAATGGTGTAGTAGCACTTTTCAAACAAATTTTTATCTTCTAGAGTAGAGTTATGGTTATACATTAAAAAAAAATAGTACAAACTCTTATTGGCAGATGATAAAATACAGAGTTTCTTTGCAAATCTAATCTTGCGCCACTATTTTGTAATAATTTTTTTTTGTTACATATATTTGACTTAATAATAGCTTTAATGTCATAGAATTGATTAAATTTAACAACTACCTTATCCCTCTGCGTAGTGAGCCTTTTGCTTCTTGGCATGGTTACTAAAATAAGGAAAGATAATAATTATTTAATGACAACAGATTGTAATAAAAATTGTGTTGCAAACTGCATTAAAACTGTGAACATTACTCAAATTAGTAAAATTTAGTAACTGGAAATGATAATTTAATCATAAAAACCCACATTATAATAATGTCATAATATATTATTAATTGGAAAATGTAAAGGAATGATAATAGTGGGGTTTCCCTCACGAAATATAAAAAATAAAAGCCAATGATTGAAATCCTTTAATATAAAAATTATAATTGTTGTTTTCAAACTATTTTTAAGTCATTGGCACGATTCAGATTGGCATTGGGATCCAAAAAAATGTAATATTATATTATTATTATTTTTCACTAAAACATACCCTGGGGGAAGGGGGTTTTGACTGATGATGTACGCTTTTGGAATTCAATAAAACTACAGTAATGGTGATTCTAAAATATTATGCAGCAACCATTTATCATTTAAAAACCTTATTTCAAATTTGTATGAATTTTTAATTCCAATTGTTTTGGGGATCTATCAAATAATCTGGGTTTGAAGTTTTTGTGTCATTGACCAGTATGGAAAAAAAATTCATTATAGTTTTATTATGTACTCTTTAGGAAGTGGGCAGAGGGTCAAAAAACATGTTTTTAGGCCTTACCCATACAAAAAAGTTCTATAGAGCTCTATAGAATTCTATAGAACTTTATATAGAGTTCTATGTAACTCTATAGAGGCAAAACATTTCTATAGAAATGTTTTATAGAGTTTACGCATTCTATAGAATTTTAATATTTGCTATAGAATGTTGTATTCCACTCTATAGAAAATTAGTTTGTTGCACAATTTGTGTATTTGTGACCTACACTGGATTTTCAATAAATGCGTTATTGCAGAAGCTTGGTTTTGAACATGAAACATTATTAAATAATAATAATAATAATAATAATAATAATAATAATAATAATAATAATTATTAAATAATAATAATAAAAAAATAATAAATAAAACTATTGCATTTGGCTCATGGTCTGATGTTGAGTAACTAAATAATGCATAGAGTTTGATATGTGTATCATTTTGTCGCAAATAATCATGCTTCATATTTCTGGAGAAATTTTATAGAAATCTATAACATTCTCTTTAGAAGCTATATAGAAATTCTATAGACATCTATAACATTTGCTTTAGAAGTTGTCTAGGAATTCTATAGAATATCTGTTTGGAAATGTATAACAGATGTATAAGTTACAGTATCAATTAGCATGCTCACATTTTAAGTTAAAATGTTAAAAACATTAAGCGTTTAAGTTACATTAAACCATAAGTTAAATTAAACATTTAATTAAATGTTAAAAACAGCAAATAATTAGCCTTACAACACATTTTAAAATTGAAATGAAAAATGAATTTAATGCACATATTTGTAACAAATACTTAATCTTAGAAATTACTTAACCACAAACCACCATTGTGACCATTTTAAAGTTACTGTTGTGTAACTTAAAACCTACTTTAATCATTCCAGATGGTAGAGATAGACATCGTTTTCAATAACCAGACAATGGATCAGGCCGTGATAGGG